GGGTATTTTCTACAACTCGCTGTCAATTAGGACAGCCAGGTAGCCAGGGAGAGGCCTGCTGTGATCCATCTAAGGTTGTAGCCAAACTTTTGTTATAGAAGCAAGCCCAGGTAAAATAAAGCCAATAAAGGCTATGGCCAGAGAAGCTTCCTGGTTATTGTGGTCTCAAAAACCTGGTTTAAAAAAATAAGAATAATAAGTGGTTCATAAAGTAGAAATAGGAGAACATTTAAAATTAAGTGGTAGGATAAAGGGTGAATACTTTTGAAAAGCATTGCAAGTATATATGTAAATAGGATATAGAGCTTCAGTGAAAGCTGTTGATCAACAGAAGGTTGGGGAAGGAAAAAGAGAAAGCTCCGCGGGGACTAGCATACAGTGAGGATGAAAGAGATGAATACTTGGAATACATTGTTTGCCTCTTTTAAAAAAAAACAACAGAATAATGCTACCTGTTGACATTTGAGGGAGGAGTTAGGTCTGAAGAGTGATGACAGGGGTGAGATTGAATAGAATGTTGAAAATATGGGAAAATAACAATAAATACCTCCCTGAATAACTAGTATAAGCTGAGAAAGAGGGGGGGAGAGAGATTGGGAGAATTTTATATATGGAGAGAGAGGGGGGGGAGCGCTGGATGTCAGTAGCTCACATCTGTAATCCTATCTTCTTAGTATCTACTTAGGTGACTGAGATCTGAGGATCATGGTTCCAAGCCAACTCAGACAGGAAAGTCCATGAGACTTATCTCCAATTAACCACCTGGAAGGGGAGCTGTGGCTCAAGTGGTAGAGCACTATCTTTGAACACAAAAGCTCAAGAACAGGACCCAGGCCCTAAATTCAAGCCTAGGACAGACAGGTACAATTAATTAATTAGTGGTATTATTCAGAAGCATGTAAGAGCTGGGATAAATTTAAGTGCATTCTGAATTTGATTATATGAAAAATCTAAGTAATTTAATTGAACATAAAAAAACTAAAAGAGAGAAGAAATGGGCAGAGAACTAGAGGGAGAGATCATCACCTATGGAGCAAGTGTTGTATTAGAGGTTGAAATATTCAAGCTCTGTGTTCTGCAGGTTAATGGTCTAGTAGCTTCCCTAAGAGGGTATTGTCATGCATATGTGGGCATTGGATGGAAATAGTGCTAAGTAGAAAGTAGAAGACTAGAGTTGTTGATCTGGTTTGGCTATTGGGTAACTCAGTCTAACCACCTATAAAAATCAATAGGTGGAGCGAAATTCTCTATTTAGTGCTATAATCTTTCTACATTTCAGATTTGATTTTCATTCAACAGGTGTTCCTTTGTCATGAGCCATATCAGACTGTTCTGAGAAAGTTTATCAGATAAGCAGCAAGGGTCATACCCCTCATATCTCCTTGCAGGTAAAAACAATTCAGGCCATTACTTTTCCCTCTGGCTTTGCCCATGTGTAGATGGCAAACAAAAGAAATAATGATACCTGGCTGAAATTACCTGACCAGATCCAAGGACAACTCTGACAGAGGCAATTTCACGTGAAATACAGCCAAGATGATGACCGAATTGGAGCTTTTAGTGATGGCATGAACATGATAGCTGTATGAAAAAGTGTAAGTGAACTACGTCTGTATTCTTTGTACCAATGAGTCATTCACAACCTGCTTCCAGATCCGATGAGCATAACAGTTTTATAAGACCTGAGACACAGAATGATCCTACAGTGGCTGAACGTGCTTTTGGGGTTTCTACTACTATAGAATCTTGCTTATCTATCTGACTTCATGTGGTACATATGTGTTAGGGAATGAAATTATGTTCAATTTTCTTATGACAATACCTAAATATTCCCTCTATTTGGCAAAAAGCTACTGCTAAGATCAGGGATATAGAAGAACATTATAATGCTAATATATCCCTTTACATTAATAGAAAAATTTATTTAATTCTAAATGTTGAAGAAAATAATGTTAAAAGATATAGACCAAGTTTCAGAAACAGATTGCCCACAGTCTTACTCTATGAAAGAAATGGTTCTCAAATATCATTACCTGCCAAAGATAATAGCAGAAAAAAAGTACTGTATCTATTGAAAAGTAGAATTATTATTTCTATAATGTAAAAATGTAGGAAATTCTTAAAGGAAGAAGATGGAAGAAATATTCTTCTTAAAAGATTTATATTTTAAATAAGAAAATGCTATGAATTTGGTTTTTGTTTTCTTTTTTCGGGAGGATACTAGAATCACTTTTGGCAAAGGCTCAACTACACATTCATAAATCATATTGCCCTCAATGTACTCACTGTTCAAAGGGAAGTACAAGTAAAGTAACTGTTCAAAATTTTTAGTGGTTTTCCAGGGTAAATTTGGAGTCGAGCCAAAGTATTCTCACCATTTAAGATTCTAATAATGTTTCAAAAGCGAGTGTAGTGGAAAACATGAGGAAAGGTGGGACTTGTAATGAAATCAAATGTAAATATTCAGAAGAGGTCCTCTGCCTGATATAATGGAATGCCAGTTAATTGAGAAATTTCAAAGTGGGAACTCTAGAATAAAGTCTAGACACCTTACACATTTGAACTTAAAGGATGTGAATGTAAGTTCATGTACCCACCTCTACAAAAAAAGGCAAGGGCTTTGCTTTAAGTATAGTCACCAGTTGCAGTTTCAAAGTTTCTTCAACCCATTGTGTAATGTAATCTCTTAGATGATCGGTTTTGCTCAGTTGTAGAGCTCTTGCCTTAGCTGGGGTAAGGCTTAAGAATCTATTCCCAGTACCCACTCACTCCACAAATCCATATGTAATTAATGTTTTCTTCTTTGCATAGGTTCTCTTAATAATTGAATGTTAACAATATTATCAATGCAGAGCACCTCTTAGAGCTAAAATTTATAATCTTTTCATATGTCTTGGTATTTTCTCCTGTAGTTGAAATGCTCCAGAGCTTTTGCTATCTCCTCCTCATGACCTCAAGTCTTTTGGTGATGCCACAGTGCAATCTAAGGTAGTTCTATTTGTTTATCACAACCTGATCTTTACCTGTATTCCAGAGTTCTTGTGTAAGCAGTTTTGCTTAATTGTGATACTGTTGTTAACAGAAAGAAGATGCAAGCTCCTTAAGTTCTGGTGTTGTAACACTACCACTGCCCTTTCCGGGATTCATTTATACTTCATTTTGTGCTGTGCTTTTTTTTAAGCTACTTATAAAAAGCTGGCAGGGAAAGCAAGGGATGAATAGTCAATATTGATTTTATCTGTATAAATATATGCAAATTCTAGAGATTTCCCAATTTTTAAGGAAGTATGAAGATCAGGCTATACAAATCCTTCTTAGCAATGGATGTTCAGAACTTCTGTAGAGTTCCAAGTTTTGAGGTGGTTAATATTAAATCTTACTTAAATGTTCTAAAATTATAAACAATACAATGGGTTGCATTTTGTTAATTGTATATAAACGTTGTAACATTTAAGAATGAAACTGTAGCCAGGTGCCCTTGGTTCATGCCTGTATTCCTAGCTACTCAGGAGGCTGAGATCTGAGGATCACAGTTCAAAGCCAGCCCAGGCAAGAAAGGCCGGGAAACTTTATCTCCTATAAACCACCAGAAAACCGGGAGTGGCGCTGTGGCTCAAGTTGTAAAGCTGAGGAGCTGAGGAACAGCCCTCAGACTTCAGACAGCGCCCAGAGTTCAAGCCCCATGACCAACTAAAAAAAAAAAAAAGAAAGAAAAAAAAAGAATGAAACTGCATATAAGCTATGCCCTACAAATACTTATAACTTATTCAAATTTAATAAATACTACTTTTCTAAGATTAGTGGAATGATAGAAGGCTTTACTTCTGCGGAATATGTCTCTATTGTGGCACATTTGGTGGGCATTTATTGACTCAAAGATTTTGCATTTTAGATCTACTGTCTCGGGACAACCTTCAAAAATCAAGCGGACTTCGTCAAGCCATTCTACCCTTCTCTTGACTTCTGGGAGGAGGGACTAAACGATCAGTGAGAGTGAGAAACGTCTGCCAAGTTTACTTCATTAAGGGAAACACAGATCAAGCTATGCTTTTTCCGTTTTTTAGGAGATGATGTGTTCTGGTGGGTGGAGGCAAATGGGAAAATCTACACAGATACAAGTGGCTAGGTTACAGGACCAAGGCATGCTTTTTCAGTTTCTTAAAGGATGATTTATTCTGGCGGGGGCACACAGACACACACACAGAGACACACACACACAGAGACACACACACAGACACACATACACACACACACACACACACACACACAGGCGGTTACAAGGAGCCAAAGAAAGAGCCAAGTAAAATCCATTCCCCCTCCCCCGCCCCGCCACACCTTCCCCTGCCTAGAAGGACACGGAGGCAATTAAAAGTATGGACTCGTGTCTCAGCCCAAGCTGGTGGACAAGGCTCCTTAGATCTCTCAAAAAGGCTTTCTCTCTTTTCCATCGTTCCTCAGTACTCTGAGCGTGACCAGGGAGAGACCACACTGCCACCACGACTTCAGTCCACCCACACGTGTGGTACAAGGGAAGATTTCACCCAAATACCCCTCAGTACTGCTTCCTGCATGAGCCAATCGCAGCCCCCAGCACTGCAGGGAAAACCCGCACCGCAGGCGGCCCCAGGTAAGACCCCAGCTCAGCCCCGCGCGCGGCCGAAGCCCAGGGCCCCCAGCCCCGCCCCACCCAGGTCTGGAGGCGGGGCATGGCGCGCCCCGCCTCCGACCTCGCCCCGCCCCCTGCGTAACCCGGATACACACCCACGCTACCCTTTCACCTCTCGGTCGTTGGCTAACGTGGAAGTCCGACCTGCCGGGGCCGGCGGAGCGATCCCGGGGCGCGCGGGAGCGGCGCTCGCGGTCTTGGAGGAGCGGCTCC